TCTAATAGAGGGAATAATCTATTTTCTTTGTATGGTAGCCTTTTGGTCCATCTGGAATAATGAAAAAAAGTATAACAAGATCTGAGAATGAAGAATGGAAAAGAATTCGATCATTGCTGACACCAACCTTTAGTAGTGGAAAACTGAAGGAGGTAAGTTAATGAAGAACTTTTTATTGTAAATGGAGATTTTATCTAAAGATTGGGAGAAATAATATCATACCCTTTAAATAGATGTTCCTTTGAGCATTACATTGCTAATAATGTTTTTTATTTTGTTTCATTGTTGCATTGATTTTTTGTTTTGTTTTGTTGTTATTTTGTCTTATATTTGTCCTTTTAAAAATATGATTATTTTTTTTATAATTTCAAAAGCTTGTTATTTGGGAACACAGATGTTGCCATTTACCAAGAGACTGTGTTGTGTTTTTTGCTTAGATGTTCCCCATTATCCAAGAATATGGAGACGCGCTGGTAAAAAACCTGAGTCAGGAAATAGAGAAGGGCAAGAATGTTACCATGAAAGAGTGAGTAGTGATGCATGCATTCGCTGGGGATTCTGTGCCCCATCTGTGGACCTCCCTCTGCCTGACAGGTAGCTAAAATTATTCTGGATCAAAAGTAAGGGAGAGTCATGATGTTACCATGCTGTGAACCATACATTAAGGAACAGTTGCCACAATAACCTGTGAGATCTCTTCCCTGTATAACGGAGAAATAATAGGTTACCTGTTGTCATCTTATATGTTATAAAGACAAGTTATATAGTTTAGAATGAAAGAAGAAAATTTAGGTAAGCTTCAGGTGGGGATTAAGAAATGTGGGAGGAGCATTTATGTGCTACATCAGAGGACTTTGGTTTGGCAAGAATATTATAGCTGTAACTTTCAACTATCTGAATCCTCAGAATTTACTAAGGGTTTAAAAAATATCAACAGGAAACAAAATTTTCTGCCTCTCTTTCATCCAACTGAAGAGGGAGAAGGTTCTGGAAATGGTATGGGTAGTAAAATCATGTTGAGTTCTGAAAACACCACAGTAGTAAACTCAGGCTGTGTTGATGATACTGCAGACAAATGGTCACATAGCTCAGAGGTTGTATGAATAACATATGAACTCGCCTGTTTCTCTATTCAGCATCTTTGGGGCCTACAGCATGGATGTGACCACTAGTACCTTATTTGGAGTGAAAGTGGATTCCCTCAACAACCCCCAGGATCCCTTTGTGAAAAACACCAGAAAGCTTTTTACATTTGACTTTTTCAGTCCATTGGGTTTTTCTACAGGTATATAGTCTGTTTTCAACTACATTAAGATCTTAGAATTATTTTATATACCATACAAAATAAAGAGGTTCCTCATAGCATATCCATACACAATTATTATCTCTGCCATTTTGCTTTCACTCCTGTATGATGTTTCTTTTATCCCCATCTGAATTTTCATTTCACATGTTGTTATCCATCATTGCCACATATTTTTATACTTTTTGATAGGTATGAGATGATTATGTGATTTCTGTCTTTGAGCCATTAATGTCATGATTTATAATTATACATTTACATATATTGAATTATTCAACATCTCTAGAATGAAACTTGAATTGAAGTTAAATTAATATTATCTACTTTTAAAGTTTCTCTGTTTATTTTCTTATGGATAGTATATTTATTTTAAGAGTAGGTTTAGAAGTCATTCACTATAATATTGCAGAATTTATTCTGTGACATTGTATCTATTAGCATTTGTTTTATGAAATTGGGTGCACATATTGATGTATATAAATTTAGAGTTGCAATGTCTTGTGGGTGCATAGCTACTTTAAAATGTATAAAATGACCTTCTACATCCTTGCAACTAGCTTTCGTTTGATATTGGAATAGTGATGCATGATTTTTCCTATGTTGATATTTGGTGGCTTGGTACATTTCTTGGGTCAGGATAAAGCATTATGTTTGTTAATCCAATGTGATTGTGTATTATTTAATTATCTATTTATTAAAAGACAAGCTCCATGTACTCCTGGCTGGACTAGAACTGGCTATGTACATAAGACTTGTCTGAATCCATTGTGATCTGCCTGTATCTGGCTCTTGAGTGCTGAGATTAAAGGATGTGTCACTATTTTCAGCCTTAGTCTGTGTCCATTGATAAAGGAATGTAGAGTGGTTTTTTTTTTTCATTTTTCTTTATTAAGAAATTTTCTACTCACTCTACATACCACCCACAGATCCCACCTCCTCCCACCAACTAGTCCTCTCTCCCGAGCAACCCCACATCCCCACATCCCCCAAATCAAGGTCTCCCATGGGGAGTCAGCAGAGTCCAGCACACTGAGCCTAGGCAGGTCCTAACCCCTTCCCACAGTGCCAGGGCTGAACGAGGTGTCGCAACACAGGCACTGGATTACCAAAAGCCTGCCCATGCACCAGGGATGGATCCTAATCCGCCTGCCTGGGTGCCCCCCAAACAGTTTGAGCCAAACAGCCATCTTTCATATCCAGAGGGTATAGTCCATTCCCATGGAGGCTTCACAGCCACTAGGCTACAACAGCTCATGGGCTTCCACTAGTGTGGCCAGTCATTTCTACATGTCTTCCCATCATGATCTCGAAGTCCCCTGCCTGCAGAATCCCTCCTCTCTCTCTCATTGATTGGATTCCCAGAGCTCAGCCTGGCACCTGGCCGTGAATCTCTGTGTCTGCTTCCATCAGTCACTGAACAAAGGCTCTATGATTAATGTTAGGTTTTTCGTTAGACTCGTCAACAAAATAAACCAGTCCAGGCATCCTCTGGACCACTGTCAGCAGTCCAGGATGGAGTCATCCTTGTGGATTCCTGAGAGCCTCCCCGGTGCCCTGCCTCTTCCTATTCACATGATGTCCTCATCTATCATGGTATCTCCCTCCCTGCCCTCCCACTCTGCCCCTATTCCAGCTCAACTGTCCCATTTCCCTGTTCTCATCCCTCTATCCTTGCCTTCTGCCATCCCCCCACCCCCAGTCTGCTCATGTAGATCTCATCCACTTCTCTTTTACTGGGTCATCCATGTTTCCCTTCTAGGGTCTTTCCCTGTTAGCTAGCCTCTCTGGAGCTGTGGGTTGCAGAATGGCCATTCCTTCCCTCATATCTAGTATCCACTTATAAGTGAGCACATACTATGTTTGTCCTTCTGAGTCTGGGTTACCTCACTCAGGATGATGTTTTCCAGTTCCATCTATTTGCCTGCAAATTTCA